TTTTGAAAAAGTGGTATTTTTGTAAAAATTTCAAAAGTGTGATATTTTTGTAAAGTGACACTTGAAAAGTGACATTTTTTTAAATTTCACTAAAATTTATTTTACCTATTAATTAAAAGAAAAGTTGATAAAACTTAAAACAAGAAATAATTAGAAAATGGTTCTATTCGTAAAAATTGCAATAAGTCATCATTTTTTTTTTTGCTAATTTAATTAGGGGTGATTTTGTCAAATAGCGATATTGATGACACTAATAGAGAAAATAGCCATGAAAAGTAGATATTTAATCAACTAACTAATTGACTTAGAAAGTTTACAGGTTTGTCCTTCGTTCTTGTTCACGCAAAACGGCATCGACATAATTTGCAACCACTGGCTTTTGGCCAAGTCCATAGAAAAAGAGGCATGAGTGACAAGAACTGTGATTACTGATTGGGATGGATGCTATAGCGGTGGATTGAGTTTTCCAGCGGCGAGAGCTGCCGAGTACCGCCAATCGGTGGAGGTGAGTAAGTAAGAGACATGAACAGTGTTTCCGGTGTGGAGATCGGATTTAGTGGAGAATGCCCCATGAAAACGATAACGTTAAGCGATATATTAGAAGCCGTAATCACGGACAAGATCAAATCGACGAGAAGAAGGAGATGACGGCAATCTTTTGAAGGGAAGTGATGAAAAAGTAGTGGAAACGGTTTGATGGTGAATTGGAATGGGCTAAGTACAACGGAGGCGGTGGTGAATCCACCGGAGAAGACGAAGTGGTGGGCAACACCACGATGAAACAGAGAAATCACATTATCTCTCTTTTTTCCATGGATTGTCATAAGGGACAATTTTTGTAATTAATACATATATTACAAAGAATATCATAGCCATAAGTTTTTATTGTTATCTATCTAATTATTAATTTTTTTTGTTAGTCATTTTAGTCATCATTTATACGCAACAATAAACAAAAGTAAATAATTAGAAGAAAGATTCAACTATGATTAATACTTTTACGTACCTAATAAGCTCTTTTTGAAGAGCAGTACCTTGATTGGTCCTCCTACGAGAGGAAGAACCAAATCCAGTGGTGATCCCATAAGTGTCCGTACCACGGTTCATGCTCTCCATCACCCATTCACTACTCGCGTTCACACCGGCTCGAGCCTCCTCCCTAAGCTCCACCGTCGTTCCTCCTCTCGCCACCGCCGTAACTTGACCAATAGTCAGCGTCTCTCCACCGAGCCACACCGTTCCTTTACTATAATCCTTCACCATCTTCTTCACCTCCTCTAGGTGGCTCCCTTTCAAAGCCTCTGCCGCTACATTCCAGTTAAGCTGGTCACTAGTCGCGATTGCGGTTACGGTTGTGGTGTGTTTGTTTGGTGGGCAAAACTCCATGATCAAGTGGAAAGTTTGATAGACAAGAAGATATACTCTACCGTAACCTTAGTTTGCTCTCTTTAAGTATTGGTTTGTACGATGCCAAAACATTACTTAACGAGTCTATGTGTATGCATTTACTTATAGGTATATATAGACCGAGCTAGCTAGCTAGCTAGAAATTTTTGTGTGTATATATATAAATGTAGAATGCAAAAAAATTGCGAGTGCGTAAAGTGTAAATTAGTGAGTGAAATGAGTACTTGAGTATAAAATTTAAGGTAATCATATTTAATTGATACTTTCTATTGATATCATCAAGAACATGTGCTTATACACATAACAATATCACTATAAGTAATTAAAACCAATATTTTTTTCCCAATTAGTCAATTACACACCTCCACGAACTCGTTACTCGGTCGCATTTGAACGGTCTCTAAAAGCATTTCTAAGAGTATCAGTTCTAACCAATTTGTTTATTATATATTTTACATCAATATGTTCTAAGAACTTCTTCAATAAATTTTAATTTTTTCCTTCTCCAATAGTAGAATTATATTACGGATTTT